AAGGAATTGTTTTCTTTCCCCCCCTGTACTCCTCCTAATTCGGACCAAATTTTGTCTTATAAGGAGAAGAGGTAGCTGTAAATGATTTCATGCCCTGGCAATGACATAGGCACAGATTTTTAACAAAAGGCTCATAAAACTTTTTATGATACTGTAAAACTGGAGAGCTCATGCCCATTAAAACATAAACTTCATGTTACATGTAATTAAGGCAGGGAGGAAAACGTAAAAATGTAAGTCTAAAAATGTATCTTGTATTACATATTAAATACACACAGAAAACACAGCGTAAGTTCCACCTCAAAGACAAAACTAAAGACAAGCAGAAAACGTCACGGTGGGTGAATGATTCCATGGCTGAAAATGAATTGGTGTTCTAGTTCTCCAGAGGATATATGGTATTGAAGGCTAGAGATCATTTTCTATTTTTCCTGATTGTAAATAAGAAAGATTGTTAAAGATACAGTCAGCTGCCATTTGGTTAATCTAGGCGATCGTTTTTGGTCCACTGAAGTTTGAAAATTATTATTTACTTTTTCCTTAGGAATGAGGACTTGTGTCTTATGGAGAGGTTTGAAGAGATGAGCAAGATCTGTCAAAGGCAGCTGGAGAAGATGCTCATAACTTTTATCCATTCTAGAACGCAGTGGGAGAGGAGGACTATGCTATAGCGCCTCCTTTCCCCCCGTTCTGATTGCGATGGGCCCACTGGATTAACCTAGGCCACGTTTGCTTCCATGTTGGCATTTTTTTTTAAGATTTTATTTATTTATTTGAGAGAGAGAATGAGAGAGAGAGAGCACATGAGAGGGGGGAGGGTCAGAGGGAGAAGCAGACTCCCTGCTGAGCAGGGAGCCCGATGCGGGACTCGATCCTGGGACTCCAGGATCATGACCTGAGCCGAAGGCAGTCGCTTAACCAACTGAGCCACCCAGGCGCCCCATGTTGGCATTTTTTATCATCCTCTTAACTCAATGTATTTACTGCTGAGGGATGCCAAGAATTCTGAATCCCGGCTATTAATGTAAGCTCTTCTGGAGACCAAATGACCTCTTCTATTGAAGTGGGTATGCAATTAATTAGATGTTACAATATATGCCCATTTTACTTTAATGTTCTTAATTTTTTCTAATATTCAAATTCATTATTTAATTTTAAAAGTATATACATTATAGACCAAATAAAAAATCAAATCATAGAGTGTAAAGAAAATTAAAATGTTGACCTTGATGCCACACACTGAGATTTCAATCTATACATTTTGAACAGTTTTTATTATAGGGAAAAAATGGATATACAATTGAACAAAATATATAAATAAATAAATCAGATGCCACCATAATTACATCATTTAGCCTACCACTAAAAGCTGCATCAAATTGATGTATTTCACCAGCCAACCATAAAAGAAGGAAATTTTTCAATAAATAGTTGAGAATCAACTGAATACATTTTATATTTATGACAGCATGTTACTTCTGAATTCTGATGTATGAGTAATCAATTATAATTACTCTGCTTTTTAAAAACATCAAAACATTTTAATAAATTTTATAGGGATTACTTTTTCATGTAATAAAAATAACAATATGACACTATACATAAATTTCCTAAGAAAAATGTCCTGGTTAGATATATTACATGTCTCCTTATAACCAGCCAGTCAGCATAGATCAAATTCAAAACCTAATCTACCTAAATGAAACGACCTTGTAGGAATATAAACCCCCTTTTTTGGTGTTTTCTCTAAAGGCAGCTGTTTAATTTTTAAAATTTTGTTCTTCCTCTTAGTTGGGTTTGAGTAATTATCTTCACTTACATTGCAAATATACTTAAAATTGTAAATATTCTTGATAAGTTTAAGAATTAGCATTTTGATTGTGTATTGTGTGTGTTAAAGCAGAGCGATCCAACATTTAATAGAGCCGTAAAACAAATTCTCTATATTTCGACGACCATAAAGAAAACAAACGAAGCCCCATTTTAGGAGGACTGCATGGTCTATATCAGTTAGGAAAAATAAGTTCTACCGCCCCCTACACCAAGTGACAGAATCATAAAGGAAATGTGGAAGTTGATACTAGCAGTTACTATAGCAATAAAAACATGATAAAAGGTTCTTTGACAGTTTGAAACCTTGGAAGGCTTGCCAAATACAAACTCGAGTTTGGAGGCCCTGGCATGATCCTGCCGTCTTTAGGAGGTCTTTGGGTCTTTTGACAACTTCTGGTTCATCCCCCTAAGTCAAAGTGATCTATCAAAATGCCTTAGTTTCCAAGAGCAATCAAAATCACTTGAACTTATGTACACACTAACAAAAGAAAAAGAACTACAGTAATATTTGTGGAGCAAGGACTCCTTGATCCAGTCAAAATGGTAGAATCTGCTGTAGTATCATTTTGCGCTTGGATATGTTTTTGAAGTTATCAGCCCATATGAGCTTACTCAAATTTATGTTTGTTCATTTTAAATACAATAATCTTAGCCACTGATGATGATATTTTTCATTTTTTATTTGTTTCTTTTTGCAAGGTGAAAAATCACAGGGAGAAATTTCAGATACTGATGATTCTTTCAGTATTTGTTCAACTTAAGGAGCCCATAAGGTAATATTTAATAAGACCCTAACCCTGACAATCTCTCTAGGCTCTTAATCTTATTACTGTATTAAACCCCTGTCTCCCCACCATGCCAAAGCATTACAGCTTTGAAATAACTCTTAGTAGGTTACATATTTTTTGACCAGTTTCTGTATTTCTTCTTGGAATCCTCCAGTGAAATGGAACGGAAAGAAGAAACTTCAAAAGCAGAACAGCATTATGTTTTCTGCATAAACATTACCAGCACTATTTCTACGTCAAAAACCAGTGACTTATTCCAGGGCTTTCTAAGTGGAAATTATTGTTTTGTAGAGTTGACTGCTAGGCACAGGGGCGTCTAACATGAGGAAGATCAAATGACCCAAGTGTGAACCCATTTGGCAGGCAATGGTGAGACCTTCTTTTTCATATGTCCCTCCAGGATCCTATTTGCCTACTTCAATGGCTGGCAAATAGCTCACTGTGCTTTTAAATGCACACACATGCACACACACACAATGTTAACAGTGATGCTTGGAAATGCTTATGCAGTTATTCTTTACTTTTAATACTGTCAATGTTTTCTTTAGTTGAGTTCAGTTTAGATTGGATACTAATCAGTTCTTACCAAAAATAATACACTTCCTTTAACTTTTACATTTAAAAATATGCTTAAATACCTATTCCTATTTTCCCCCACTCAATTTATGAACTTGCTAAGCTCCTAAGTACACACACACACACACACACACACAAAAACACCTATTTCCCCAAGGTAAAATAAAATGTTGTTTTTTCAATTAAGGAGTAACTAAAATAATTCCTAGCATTTCAGTGCCTTATCTTTAAAAAAAATAGCTCTTCACTGCACTATGTTCAAAAGTTTTGGTCACTGTACAGCAGGGAGTCCATCTGATCAAAATTTGGAGGATATCAGGATTGGAAGAACTAGACAGTTATCCTATTAAACCACACTAAATAGTTGAATCTGTATGAGGACATGCCTGCCAAGTAGTCACTGTGTGGTGGTATACCTCCAGTAAAAAGGAGAATAAAGGATATTCTCTAACACAGACTATTGCCAGTAAGACATTTATTAATAGTATTATCACACTTGTTCCTAAAATCTACTATTATTTCAACAGTGAAGAGGTAAATGCCAGACTAACCTCAGTCAGACGGTTATTCTAGTTAGGTTGACAGTAAATTACAAGAAACATCCACAGACTATAATCCTGTTATAGAGTATGTAATACATTAAAACACAATGGAGAACCTGCACGAATTGGCAACATTTTATATCATCAAAAAAAATCGAAGACCTAAAAATGGTGCTTGCCTATAGTTGCAGATATTAGAAAAATCTTTCATTTTAAAGGGCAATTCTGTACCATTAAAAAAAAACCTATCATCTGTCAAAGGCAGATATGTATTGTTTATATCAAGTGATAGTTGTGCTTAAATATAACTTAAGACAGTTAAATATAAATTCACGTTTACTTCCATATAAAAATATATATAAAAATAGAGTATTTAAAGAGGTGGATATTCATACTAAGGAACTGATCGATCAAAATAGTCTTTTTTTGGTGTGGTAATGAAATTGAGGTATTTGTACATTTTGTAATTTCAAACCTGGATTGAATAACCCCCTCAGGTTTTTTTTTCCCCCAAAAGAAAAACAATCCTTTAAAAACCAATTTTAACTGTGGGATAGCTCACAACAAAGCACTTGTAAAATAAAGAAATTCACTATTTTGAAATTAACATAGAGAAGAGAAAGTTCTCAATACTAGAATTGGATATGTTGTATATGTATGCCACAGTTTTAATAAAAAAGTAATTTTATGCTTACTCTAAATTTGTATTTGATAAATCAAAATATGGTTACTAGTAACATAATATTTCTGGACATATACAAATGCTGTATGAAAATAAACACCTACGCACTTGCAAATGGCTAATCCTTTGAAAATATTTACATAAAATGTAATCTTGAATTACACAGGGTTCTAACGGCAAACAAAAGCTTTCTTAAGTAATATCATCAGTAAAACATAATAAAATAATACACTTTAAAATTACATATTTTATCAACTTAGACTGCAGTTACCCATCCAAGTTCACAGACAGGGTAGGAGGGAATGTTTATGAAAAGTACAAAGAGTGCAAAATTAAATGCATTGGTGTTTTAACTGTAAAATATTACACTTCCTATCTCTTGCATAGAATCATTTTGAAATCCCCGTGGAGCATTCCTGTTCTTTTCCTTTCGACTGTAAAATTTAAGAAGTATAGGAAGAAATATTTTCCTAAGCATTAGATTCACAAAGCCTAAGCCATCATAAACATCACTTTTTCTTCTGGTAAAGGACACAAACACAATTCCTACAAGTGGAATGTAACTGCTTTTTTCTCCTTTTCAGTATTAATTTACCGCGAGAAAAGATAATGCAATACTCAAGAGCTTTACCCTTTTTGTCCACATAATTCAAGTGTCTATATTTCTCCTTATTATCACAATGCAATACCTAGCCCACGGTGGTTCTAATTTACCATTGTTCTTCAAGTAACGTTTTTCTAGCTCTAGCTTTCCCCTTGAAAACAAATGATTTTCAAGTGCACACCTTGGACTTATGAAGCTGTAGGAAAAAAGTGTTATTATTACTTTTTTTTAGCCACGTGTGCATTGGTGTGTATGTGTGTGTGTGCCAGGCTGCATGAGTGTGCGGTCAATCCAAATACACGTGATGTACAGGATTTGGTTCTTAGACTGCTGTCCAGGTGAGTGAGTGGCTTGCCTCCAATTCCAAGTCCAGTCCTCCTGCAGGGAGTCTACACAGTTCTTTTACTCGTACACATCCTGCTGAGAAGGATTTCAGAGCAAACCTGATTAATTGGACCTCTGACATGATACGGTGATTGAAACTTTGTTACAGAGTCTTGTCGTCGTTGTTGTAGTTTGCTTTGATTGCTGAAATATTTCCCCACAATATGATTTCCTGATTGTTTCATTTTAATAAAGGGATATTCTTTGGATAGCTTTGATTTCACTACCTGCAAATAAAGAGCAAAACATAGTCAAAATCAAGGACATTCAAGCCCTGCATCGAGTAGGATAAGTAACTCACAAACTTGAACAGCATCTTTATCACGCGGATATTGCCTAAAGGGCATAAATATGATCTACATAACCAAGAGCCAGAGAAACTGCTCTTTCAAAAAATAAAACAAAACAAAAAAAAACACCCAAAAACTAAAGTTGGAATTAGAATTTCTGCCATTTTACTTACCTCAGGGCAGTTGAATCCAATGCAACTGAGGAATAATTTCAGGTGGTTTCTCTACCACACTGGTGTGTATGTGTGTGTGTGTGTGTGTGTACTTAGGCTGGATGCCACCATATAGAAAAGACGCTGAGGTGCCTTTGCTGGGTCACTGATTCAAACATGGTACTCTACACCTGCCATGGCACCCTTTTATAGAATGGAAATTAAAACTATTTGCAGAGAAAAGAAAAATACTTCTCTATTGCACAGCCATAAGGTGACACTTAAAATTCGTGGTTTCCTTTTCCTGGGCACTTAGTAAGTTAGTAAGGAATCTGTAGAAGCTGACCATGCCCTATTAAGCTAATAACTTTATATATGTTTGTACATATATTTTATCTTAAACTTTTTTGAATAGGCAGAATTAGAAAGCATTCATAAAGCATAAAAGGATATGTAACACAAATTTCCTCCCCAGCTCTGCCTCCCCACCTCCAGTCACTCAGTTGACTCCCCAGAAGCAACATGTATTACTAGTTTGTGATTCCATTCACAGATATTTCATGAATATCGACACATACACATACATACAAATAAACAGGCCATATTTATAGTCCCTTTGTACAGTTTACAAAAAGTTGTCCTGGGGCTATTCTATACTTTTATTTAAATTCAATTAATTAACATACAGTGCATTATTAATTTCAGAGGTAGTATAACTGTCAGTTTTAATCACTGGGTTAATGTAACTCAGATTGTTAATACCAACAGTCAGAGGGAATCAGGAAGGGATCAAAACAGAGATTGTGGGGAGGGTTGGGAAGTGGGGAGGAGAGAAAATACTGGCAAAGCCACTTGAGGTGTCTTCACAAATGAATAACAAATCATTAATTCAATTTATTAATTATTAATTTTTGATGCAATTGCAAGACATTATTTTCGGTCAATATGGACACATAAACTATATATTATTGATGACTAATGAAGGCAACACTAGCTCACATGGATTCTTAAAACTCCTTTAAGTGCTGTATATTGATTTAGAACCACATTTTTTTTATTCCATAAAAGAGAATACAATGAAAACGGCTAAAAAAATACAGAATATTTAAACAAACACAAGCTATTTATTTTGAAGATAAATATTTTTAGTTATTATGTGCAAGTGAGTGTGAACACTTTTAGAAGATTTATTTGAGTAGAAATTCTGTAAAGACCTAAACCAAAATGGTAACAGTAGTGATCTTTGGGTAGAGGAATTATCGGTGATTTAAAACATCTTTGTAACTTCTGGCCTTGCTTTTTTATTTGAATACAACAAATGTGCATTCCTTTATAATCATAAAAATGTTGAAGCTATTCCCATTTTGAAGAAAAAATGTAATAGCAATGCATTTTGAAACCAATTATACCCTGCTGACCCCAAAGAAATGAATTGTTTTCCTGTAGCTATGGGATGTTTACTTTTTTATGATCAGGCCCTCAGATGAAGTGACTCTTAAGAAGACCAGTGAAATCAGTGGGTTGGGGTAAGGAATCCTTGTGGATGGTAAATCAGAGCTAAGTTTGCAGTTAACCACTGATTAATATTCCCGGTCCCAAGGTTGTAAGTTGCTGTTATGTGCAGCTCCTTCCACCCCTGTTTGGTTATCCTACAACTTTAAATATGATAGGCTGGGAGGTGCACCAGTGTTTTCCTGAAGCTTCTGTCCATTTTGGAGGAGGTGTGTATTCAATGATAGCCAGATTAGTGAAAATTTTTAAGGAAGTTTATTTAAGGAAACACTTAAGCATAAATATTACTTTCAACCCTGAAAAAATATTATTCCAGTATTCTGAAGCCAAAATAAGGTTACTTTTATTTATATAATTTTATCTTAAGGTCTGGTTTTTTGCAATTGCCGGATGATCTGCATGCTAATTAAATGCAAAATAGATAAAAATACATCCCATTGCAAAAGGTTATATAGTTCTTTAAAAATTATTTCTTTTTTTTTAAATTTTTTTTAAAGATTTTATTTATTTATTGGAGAGAGATTGAGAGCCAGAGAGCACGAGAGGGAAGAGTGTCAGAGGGAGAAGCAGACTCCCCGCCGAGCAGGGAGCCCGATGCGGGACTCGATCCCGGGACTCCAGGATCATGACCTGAGCCGAAGGCAGTTGCTCAACCAACTGAGCCACCCAGGCGCCCCTAAAAATTATTTCAATGTTTTGTGTTGCATCTATTGTTGCATTACAAATGTTGGATAATGCTAGTGTAGATGCTTATAGCAATCTTGAATGGGATTTATAAAAGAGATAATACAAAAATATATATTTCCATTGTATTTGCTGAAGCTTATAGCTTCTATTCAAGAGTCGTGTCAGTATTTTGCCAGATCACATGGGAAGGTTGATAATGTATTTCTATTTTTAAACCACTCAGGTGGTCTCTGAGAAAGGAAGATGGGATGATGGGGTCTCTGCCAGCTTCTGAGGGCCAGCCTAATGCCTCTCATAATGCTAGTGCTGGCGTATGCTACTGAAGATTGATTCCTACATATCTATCCCAGGGCTTGGCCCAACAACACTTAATTCAGTTAGTTTCCTTTGAAACCTATTTTTCAGGAAATAATCAAAGATGCTAGCTAAGTGTCTTAATTCCTTGGTGAGGCCAGTTTTACCCTGATACTGACTCCTGAAAGGTGACAAACCTACAGAGAAAGAATTACTTCAATTTTGATTTGTCAAAATAGAGATGTAAAAAGTCCTCCCAAATGCTATTGTCAATGGAATCCGGGAACCTTTAAAAAAAATCCAGCAGTATTATGTACTGTACCACCAGCACATGTAATTTATTTCAGGAATACAAGCTTTAGTGTTATGAAACATTTTGTTATAGGAAATTGCCCAAGAATTATTTATAACTATATGATTGTTTACCTTGAAAACCCAAAGGAAGTTACTGAAAAATAACGAGATATTATAAAGTTAATATTTATAAATTATACAGCATTTCTATATTCCATCAATAATTAATAAGAAATATATTAGAGAAAGGATCCCATTACAATATGAGAACAATTTCATTCAGTTCAGCAATTATGCAGGTGAAGAAAACACAAAGTTTAATAAAAGGAAAACATTAACAAATGGAAAGACATACCGTGTCAAATCCTCCCAGGTTAATTAAAATGCTATTCCAACTGTAATCACAACAGGATTTGGGGGGACATGACAAAGAAATCCTAAAATACATCTTGAAGAATCAATGTAAGAAAATAACCAAGACCATTTGGGAAAGGGGAAAAAAAAACAGTGATGGTGAGGATTTTTCAATACCAGATGTTCACTCAGTGATATTAATTGAGTCTACCATCAGCCTACCATAGATCCAATTTGTTGGTTGCATAAGCCAAGTACAAGCAGAATTCAATACTGTGATAGAAAAAATAGGAATGTTCGTACTACATTAAAGTGCATTTCATGAACTGCTACTCTTCCCTAAAAATGTTTATGGAGCAATAAGGTAGTTCTAAATAAAGCCCAGTGTTATATAAATCTAGTGATCATAAATGTCGACAGCCTAAGGGTTTTAATTACTTGGAAATAAAATCAAGAATGTATGTTTAAAATGGAGCTGTGTATCAAACTGCTAATAGAATCTCCAATGGGGAAGGGAGTGAGAATTAATGGGTGCATATGATAAAAAGGCAGGAATTTTCTCTCTCTCTCTCTCTTTTTTTTTTAAGAGAGTGAGTGAGTGAGCAAGCACACATGTGTGTGAGGGTGGGGGGGGGCAGAGGGAGAGGGAGAGCGAGAATCTTAAACAGGCTCCACACCCAGCACAGAGCCCAATGAAGGGCTCGATGTCACAACCCTGAGATCATGACCTGAGCAGAAATCAAGAGCCAGACGCTTCCCTGACTGAGCCACCCAGGCACCCAATGAATTTTTTTTTAAGATTTTATTTTTAATAATCTCTACACCCAATGTGGGACTTGAACCCAGGACTCTGAGACCAAGAGTTGCCCGCTCCACTGACCGAGCCATGCAGGCACCCCTAAAGGCAGGAATTTTTTGTTTTTATTGTATATACTTATTTTTACATTTTTACAGCTAGCAAGAGTTCATGTAATCTTTTTACAATAGAAAAGCAGTAGAAGAGAAAAAAATGATGCCATATCTTATAAAATTAAAATGAGTTATTGATGACTTAATGATTTATTTTTTTCTACATAATATCCAACTTTCAATCTTCAGAGTTCTCTGCCAGGAAACACATGGAGTAATTCAGACATGGTCCCTACCCTCAAGGGGGCTATATAAAGACACATGTCTAAGATACTTGAAGTAAGAACAAGAATGAAATGACTTCAAAGACATTGTCTGAGACTAACTCCCCAAGGTCAGGCACCATGTTGTTTCCATGTAATGAATAGTTCCTTCATAAATTACTTAGTGTTAATTTATGGTGGGCATGATCATTTGCTCACAGAGCTATTATTTCTTTGAACTTATTTGTTAAATTCAGTATCCGGCATTGCTGCCAAGCTGCTATCTCCAAGTTTCAAAATATTACTTTATTTTACCTACTCTTACAGGCTCTAAAGTGAAGGAAAAGGACTTAATTACAATTTTTAGGCTTGGAAATGTTATGCAAATGAAAGATGTTTGATACCTGTACAATAAAGAGCTAACTGCTTCTTTCCTTTGATCTCTTGTGTGGAAATGTGCCCATTTGGGTCCTTTCCAAAAATCAGAGGACCATTTGGGATTATTAAAATCCAACTAAAGTGTCAAGTGGAA